TCATTGTAGTATCTGGCTCTGGGTTTTTAATTATTAAGACCAATTAGGATTCATTCTACATCTGGTGCCCAACTTGTGGGGCATGAATTCACAAAAAAGCTGCTTGCCTGTGGCTTTGTAGCCACTGGCACAGGCTGGAGCTGCACATGGATGGAGTCACTACCCTGCCTGCTGAATTTTTGTTGTGGCCTTTCTACAGCAAACTCCAAAGCTTTGGGGCTCCAAAAACCACAAGACTTAGACACTTTCCCACATTCACCTGTGCAGATGGCTGGCTCTTTGACTTCTTATCTCCCAGTGAGTTGTGGGCTCTCCCAGGACCCCCTCCTGGGGATGCTACCACTATGTAGCTGCCTTGAAATCTGCTCAGGCTTCTACTCTTCTACACAGAAGCAGTAAGCTTCACATCTGAATTGTTATCATTGGCAGATTTTGTGAGACAATTGGGAATTCTAAAAGGGAGGAATTAGCTAAAAGAGAGTATTTTTTTCCCACAATAAAAAATGGAAACACTATTACAATGGAGAGTGTTAGGTCTCTGTATGATTACATGGTGCGTGGTTTGAAAATGGAAAAATTAAATGAGAGGATAATTAATTTAGATGGGATTTATGTAATGTCAATTACAAATATTATCTGTTTGATCATTTTTGTTTTATCATTAAAAACATTGGTTAATATGAGTGCCAGGGTAAAAGTCTTAGAAAAACTTATTAAAACAGATCATAGAGATATTCAGAGCCAGACAGGGGAATTTAAAGGAGAATCAATCTCACCATTGCATTATAAGGTTACAGAGGAACAGCCAACCTTAATTTATCAAGTAACCCTACAGGAACTGCCAAATATAGACATTCTCAAGGCTGTGTAAGAGCTGAATGGACTCCTGTGTAAATGTTGGATTTGAGGAGATTCAAGGAAGCAATAGTCTCATATGACATGCATTCACCTTTTGTGATGCAGATGTTAAACTTGTGGTCAACTTGTAATAGAATTATCTCTCAAGACTGGAGAGATTTGGTTACAGCAGTCTTGGAGGCTAGTCTTCAATTATAATGGGGAACCTGGTGGAAAGATGAGGCTCAGGGCAATGAACAACAAAGTAGGGCTAGAAGTATGGAAATCTCCTAAGAGCAACTTCTTGGAGAGAGATTATGCTAATGTAGAAAAGTAATCTCTATATGATGACCACACCCTGGCTTTATGCTATGCAACAGCTTTGAAAGCTTGAAGAAGTAGGAAAGAAATGGATTCATTTACTAAAGTTATGCAGGACTGAAAAGAAACCTTCACTGATTTCTTACAAAGATAGACCTTAGCATTAAATAGAATGATACCAAATTCAGAAGGTAGAAAAAAATAATTTGAATCTCTGGCTTTTGAAAATGCCAATGCACAATGCAAAAGTGCAATTAGGCCATTAAAGGCAAGATCAACACCCTTAGAGAAATAGATCCAAGTTACAGTCAATATTGAATCTCATAACCATGATGATGCTTGGATAGGACAGGTGATTTTCAGAAGTTTGAAGAAAAATCAAAATGTCAAGTCCTGTGGGATGGTCTGTATGTCAAATGTGTTTCTGGTGAAAATATGTGAAGGTATTATAAAGAACGATCACTGACCATTCATGTTGTACAAGAACAGGGCACAATAGCTGCTGATCTTTCAAAGGCACCAACAGCCATACCTTTAAAATGGTTAACAGACAAACCTGAACGGGTTGAACAATGACCTTTAACATCAGAGAAACTACAGGCCTTAGAATAGCTAATACACTAGTAGCAAAATGGTCAGCATGTTGAAGAATCAACCAGCCCTTGGATTTCTTCTGTATTTGTTATTAAATGAAATCTGGAGCCAGGTGATGGTGGCACACTTGGTAGGCAGAGACAGGTAAATCTCTGTGAGTTTGAGGTCTGCCTGGGCTACAGAGTCCAGGAAATGTGCACAAAGCTACACAGAAAAACCCTGTCTCGAAAAACCAAAAGAAAAAAAATCTGGAAAAAAATTTTTTTTCTATTTTTTTTTTTTTTTGGTTTTTCGAGACAGGGTTTCTCTGTGTAGCTTTGCGCCTTTCCTGGAACTCGCTTTGGAGACCAGGCTGGCCTCAAACTCACAGAGATCTGCCTGGCTCTGCCTCCCGAGTGCTGGGATTAAAGGCGTGCGCCACCACCGCCCGGCTGGAAAATTTTTTAATAAAAGTTTTTTTTTTTTTTTTTTCGAGACAGGGTTTCTCTGTGTAGCTTTGCGCCTTTTCCTAGAACTCACTTGGTAGCCCAGGCTGGCCTCGAACTCACAGAGATCCGCCTGGCTCTGCCTCCCGAGTGCTGGGATTAAAGGCGTGCGCCACCACCGCCCGGCTAATAAAAGTTTTTAATAAGGAGATTCAGCCAATGGTCTCTCTACAGTCTGTAATTCCTTTGCTTTCTCTGTTACATAAAGAATGGCCTCTATAGTTATCAATTTAAAAGATTGTTTCTTCACTATACCTTTATAAGAAAAATTTGCCTTCATGGTGCCTACTTATAACAAGTCTCAGCCTGTTAAGAGATATCAATGGAATGTTCTCCCACAGGGAATGTTAAATAGCCCTATCCTGTGCCAATGTTTTGTGTCAGCCATTGGAAATGATTCATAAGCAATTCCCTCAATCTATAGTTTACCATTACATGGACAACATCTTACTAGCTGATTCAAATGTAGATACTTTGGAAAGAATGTTTGACAAGGTAAAGAAAATTTTATTGTCTTGGGGATTATAAATTGCTCTTGAAAAAATACAAAGATTAAATTCTATTAATTATTTAGGATATAAAATAAGTCTACAAGAAATTAGACCCCAAAAGATGCAAATTAGGAGAGATCAATTGCAGACTCCTAATGACTTTCAAAGATTGCTAGGAAACATTTCCCATCTTCAGCCCACAATTGGAGTAGAAAAATCAAGAAATAATTAATTTATTCAAAACCTTAAATGTTAATAAGGACTTAATAGTCCAAGAGAATTATCAACTGAAGCTGAGAGAGAATTGGCTTTGGTGGAAAAGAAATTACAGGATGTGCACATGGATTGTTTGGATCCAGAGCTTGATTGCATTCTGGTTATTTTACCCTCTAAGCATTCTCCTACTGGAATATTAATGCCAAGTGAAGATATTATCTTAGAATGGATCTTTTTACCACATAAACAGTAAAAAATTAAAAATTTATATAGAATAGTCTCTCAGTTGATTCTACAAGGAAAATTGAGACTTCATGAATCCCAGTCACTGGGTGTTGAGTTAGTTTTACTGTTGGAGTGAGTTTTTGCTTTTTTCTGGTTGTGACTGCCCTGCTTCTTCTCTCTTGTAGGGAGAAGGTATTTAATTTCAATTTTTTTTACAATAACCATAGTTGCAAGACTTTTTAATGTGTTTAAATTTGTAAAAATTATGGAGTATTTATTAAAGTTATTTATGTTTTTAATGTGAGTTCTTATAAACAAATAAGAAAGGAATGTGCTGGGCAGTGGTGGCACACACTTTTAATCTCAGCACTTGGGGGTCAGAGTCAGGCTGATCTCTGTGAGTTCAAGGCCAGTGTGGTCTACAGAATGAGATCCAGGACAGGCACCAAAACTACACAGAGAAACCTTGTCTTCAAAAACAACAACAACAGCAACAAAAAAAAGAAAAAAGAAAAAAGAAAGAAAGAAAGGAATGGTGTGACTTGATAGTTTGTGTGCCAAGTTGATAAGTAGTCAATTGTACTGGCTAATCTTATGTCAACTTCACACACAAACTAGTTATCTGAAAGAAGGGAAACTCAATTGAGAAAATGCCTCCATAAGATCCAGCTGCAAGGCATTTTTTTAGTGATTGATTGGGAAGGGTCCTAGGTTCTATAAGAAAGCAGGCTGAGCAAGCCAGTAATTAGCACCCCTCTATGGTGCACTTTGTGCACTTTGGCTACTTCCACTGCCTCTGTGCAGCTATTCATGGCAAGTGTCTCAAAGCTTGGGTAACTCGACATCTAGTGGTCTTAAAATGCAACCCACTCTTCATTTTCACACATACAATGAACTATCACAGTCTCCTCACTGGGTCCTTGACTCTGTCAAACAAATGGCGCAAGAAAGCTGAACTGAGACAGAGGAAGAATCCATGACCTTTACGTTTTCTATCTTCTTTCAAGAAAATGTGACACATAGGCAGTGGAAGTAGCAAAAGTGCACAATGTGTGAGAAGTTGCAGAGAGAAAGAGCCATCTAAGCCCTTTGAAACTGAAGCCCCAGGTGCCTGACACAGACCTACAGAGTTTGGTGTTTGCCCTGCAGGTTTTCAGTCTTGCTGTGGTCCAATCTGTCCTTACTTCTTTGAAAAGAAAATGTTTATTCTGTACCTTTGTATGTTCTGTAGATATAATTTGCTTTTTGATTTTCACAAGATATCACAATCAAGGGACTGCCTTGAGTGTCAGAGGAAACTTTCTACATTCTAACTTTGTTGGGACTGGTACAGAATATGGGGGTATTTGAGGTTAGAATAAATGCACTTTGCATTATGGGTTAAGTGTGAGACTGTCATGTCCTATGTCAAAATGTTGTGGGTTGAGTGAAAAATCTCCCAAGTACAAAGATGTACTGGAGACTTTGTCTCTGGTTTGTGGTTTTTATCGAGGTGCATATGGTACCTTTAGGATGAGGGTCCTTTCTAGAGTAGGTTAGTCTCTGGGGATGGGTGTTGAGTGTTTATACCCCAACCACACTTGTCTTCTTTCTGTGGTTTAAAGTTAGCAGCCCTTTTCCTTCTCATGCATGGACACTGTTACCATTATAACAGGACCCATCCCTAATAACCTAAGGTAAATAGAAGCAATTGCATTTCCTTTCTAAACCACTATTCTGCTGTGATATTTTTATTTCTATAGTTTTGGCTGATGGAATTAGGTTTTATACATGTGAAGCATTTGCTTTTGTGCTGAGCTTTACCCACTTCTTTACTTTTTAACTTTGGCAGAAAGTATCATTTTTTTCCCCACAAAGATGGCATACATTCATGGCATTAATACTGATCTTCTGAATGATTGCATTGCAGGTGTGTAACATTCTCCATATCTTTATGCATGCTTTAATTTGGTTTCCTTTTTGAAATGTGTGCATGAATCTTTTGCTTATTTATATATGCATGTGTACCGTATGTGTGCCTGGTGTTCACTGAAGTCTGAAGAGAGCACTGAATTCTCTTGAACTGGAGTTACACATTGTTGGGACATCCAAGTGAGTGCTGGGGATTGATGCATGTCTTCTGCAAAAGCAATAAGTGATCTTAACTGTTGATCCATCTTTATACTCAACTGGGTTGGTCTGTTTGTTTTATTTTTTAGCATCAGCTTTACTTTACTGTTTTTGAGAACCCTTTTAATCTGTCAGTCAGTAGCTTATTAAAAATGCATTCCTTCACATGAACATTATAAAGCCTTAGAGTTTAAATGAGGTACTCCAATTTTCTGAAAGGAAAGTACATTTCTGGAGGGAATGTATAAATCATTGGTGGAGTTTAGAGTGAGCCCCTGCATGTTCTCAATTTTTTTCTTTGTTTGAAGCAGTGTCTCAGTATGTGACTTGGCTGTCCTTTAAAACTCTACGTAGACTCAGCCAGCTGAAAATCAGAGATTTGCCTGTCTTTTTCTCCTGAGTTTGGGGATTAAAGATGTGTATCACCATATCCATATTGTCTATCCTTCTTCGATGGCAGTAATTTTGATACAATTTTTCTGATGTTTACTCAATACTTTTGCTCTGTTTGCATGTTTCTTTCTATTTGTAATTCAACATTTCTCTTGTAATGCCATATACTATTGAGAGGGCCCAGAAATGAGACTCATGTCCTCCTTTTCTGTTTCCTTCTAAAAATGACTTTGTGATTGCACTTGAAATTCTGTGATATGAAATAAATTTGTTGAGTGTGCAGAATTATGGAAACGTATGCTCAATGAAGTGTACATTTACAATGCATTCAGTCTCACCATCTTTATCACATATTTGTATGGTAAATTTTAGGATGCAGTGACCTATGGGGACGTGCAAGTGAACTTCAATGAGGAAGAGTGGGCTTTGCTGGATCCTTCCCAGAAGAGTCTTTACAAAGATGTGATGTTGGAAACCTATGAGAACCTCACTGCTATAGGTACGAATGTAAGTTTTCCTTCACTTTGTAGTTTAAGGGGTAAGTCTTTCTTGGAGATTAGTGTTCTGTTGTGATTTTGACTGTGAAAGAGGAATAATGTTGTGAATCAGGAATGGTTCTAAGGTTCACTGAAGATAACTCAAATCTTGCATAATTCTCAATAATATATAATATATTTCTGATGTTATATTTTAGGCTTCAAATGGGAAGACCAGAATATTGAAGATCATTGTCAAAGTTCTAGAAGACATGAAAGGTAATTTTCTTGTGCAAGGTAATATGTTTGTGCCTCTGAACAAATTTCAATATGTCCTGCTATTTAATGAAAACTAACAGTGTAAATTACACAGCCTTGTGATGAATATTAAATTCTTCCAACATCAGATACCTCAGTTTCAGGTAGCTGATGTGTGCTTGCATGCTGTCCCTCTAAGAAACAAGACAAGGAAACAATGCCTTAACAGATGTTACCATATTAATCATAGCTCCCTGAGATCCATGTTGAGTAGAACTATTCATCCATTTAGTTTCATTCCTTTTTTTTTATCACTCTGGCAAAATGAGTATTCTTTTTTTTTTAATGCCCAATGCCATTTATTGAAGGAGGGAGGAGGTCTTAAATACAGGTTTACAGCACAATGGGAGAACCCCAGAGGGCAGAAGTTCGCTACTGATGTTTTACAGTCTTGTATCTAAGCTGTTAATGCCCAATATGCAGGATACACCATTCAAGTATTGTAAAGACATTCATATTGGTTATGGGATTAGGGTATGTTCAAGTCCTTCTATAAGCAAATTGTCCCTTAATTAAGCTAATGTTACTCATATACTTGAATAGACTTACCACAATTTAGTGATAGGAGCAGTTTATGAGACTTAAGAATGTTGTTGTGGTGGAGAAATATTAATCCCTATACCACACCTTTATGAGGAACAAAAAGTTAAACTATGTGAATGCAATGGGAAAACATTTTGTTTGTTATTCTTCCTTTAATAGGTACATGATTTGTCACCCTGGATACAAGCCATGTGAGCATAATGGATATGGAAAGAACCCCTGTACCTCTGTCTCTCCTGGAAAAAACTATGTAGTAGTTCCCACAATGGGAAGACATGGTGATGATAATACAAGTGTAGAATTATTTGGATTTCACACTTCAGTGGGAATACATCAACAACACACTTACACCAGAGAAAAGCCTTATGAGTTTAAGAAATATGAAAATTCTTTTGTCTGTCCTGGTTCACATTGCACATATAATGTGACTCATGTTATAGGAAAATGTTATGAATGCTACCAGTGTGGTAAGGCTCTGAGTTCTTCCAGTTCTCTTCAAAGAGGTGAAAAAACTCATATGGGAAAAGGATTCTATAAATGTGAGCAATGTCCCAAAGGCTTTAACCATCGTAAGTATCTTCAAACACACAAAAGAACCCACAATGAAGAGGAACCCTATGAATGTAAACAAGATGATAAAACATTTAGAGCCGATTCTTTGCAATTATACCAAAGAACTCCTTTAAAAACAAAACCTTATGAATATAATCTAGGTAGTAAAGATTTAGCATGTCACAGTTATCTTCAAGTATCTAGAACTCATACTAGAAAGAAACAGTATAAATGTCAGCAATGTGGAAAAGCCTTTGCATGTCCCAGTTATATTCAAATACATGAAAGAATTCACACTGGAGATAAACCCTATGAATGTAAACAATGTGGAAAAACCTTTGCATGTCCCAGTTATCTTCAAATACATGAAAGAAGACATACTGGAGAGAAACCCTATGAATGTAATCAATGTGGTAAAAGCTTTGCAAGTACTGGTGATCTTCAAAGGCATGGAAGAAGTCATACTGGGGAGAAACCCTATGTATGTAATCAATGTGGTAAAGCCTTTTCAGATCCCAGTAATTTTAAACAACATGAAAGAATTCATACTGGAGAGAAACCCTATGAATGTAATCAATGTGGTAAAGCTTTTGCAAGTAATGGTGATCTTCAAAGGCATGAAAGAAGTCATACTGGAGAGAAACCCTATATATGTAGTCAGTGTGGTAAAGCTTTTGCACGTAACAGTCATCTTCAAAGGCATGAAAGAAGTCATACAGGAGAGAAACCCTATGGATGTAGTCAATGTGGTAAGGCCTTTTCATATCGCATTAATCTTCAAAGACATGAGCGAAGTCATACTGGAGAAAAACCCTATGTATGTAACCATTGTGGCAAATCCTTTTCATCTGGTAGTGCTCTTCAAATGCATAAAAGAACACATACTGGAGAGAAACCCTATATATGTAATCAGTGTGGTAAAGCCTTTTCATGTTGCAGTTATCTTCAAATGCATGAAAGAAATCATACTGGAGAGAAACCCTATGAATGTAATCAATGCGGTATAGCTTTTTCATCTCGTAGTAATCTTCAAAGGCATGAAAGAAGTCATACTGGAGAGAAACCCTATGAGTGTAGTCAATGTGGTAAAGCATTTGCACATAAATATCATCTTCACAGTCATGAACGAGGTCATACTGGAGAGAAACCTTACGAATGTAATCAGTGTGGTAAAGCTTTTGCACGTAACAGTCATCTACAAAATCATGAAAGAATACATATTAGAGACAAATCCAGTCAATGTAATAAGTGAGGTAAAGCTTTGCACACCAGGCAAAGACTCCATCATTTTGGAGATGCCAGTACCATGAGATGCCCACCAAGACAATCAGCAGTGTTGAACTGGAACCATTCAGAGCCTAGAAGAGAACTTGTGTGTACTGCAGATGGCATAGCCAGAGAAGTGACCCAAGCCGTTTATAGTAGTGCCAAAGACTGTGAGTGAATCCCAGTCACTGGGTGTTGAGTTAGTTTTACTGTTGGAGTGAGGTTTTGCTTTTTTTTCAGATTGTGACTGCCCTGCTTCTCTCTTGTAGGAGAAGGTATTTAATTTTGATTTTTTTTTTTTACAACAGCCATAATTGAAAGACTTTTTAATGTGTTTGAATTTGTAAAAATTGTGGAGTGTTTATTAAAGTTATGTTTTTAATGTGAGTTCTAATAAACAAATAAGAAAGGAGTGGTTGTGACTTAATAGTTTGTATGCCAAGTTGATAAGTAGTCAGTTGTACTGGCTAATCTTATGTCAACTTCACACACAAACTGGAGCTATCTGAAAGAAGGAAAACTCAATTGAGAAAATGCCTCCATAAGATCCAGCTGCAAGGCATTTTTTTAGTGATTGATTGGAAAGGGTCCTGGGTTCTATAAGAAAGCAGGCTGAGCAAGCCAGTAATTAGCACCCCTTCATGGCATCTGCATTAGTTCCTGCCTCACAGTTCCTGCCCCATTTAGGTTTCTGTCCTGACTTCCTTTAATGATGAACAGAAATAAAGGCTTTCCTCCCCAGCTTGCTTTTTGGTCATGATGTTTCACTGCTGAAATGCTAAGACATTCTGTCTCAAAACATCCAAGAAAAGGGGAATGTGGACAGATGGCTCAGAAATTAAAAACACTGGCTATTCTTTCAGTAGACACTGTTTCAATTCCCAGAACCAACATGGAAGTTCACAACTGTCTGTAAGTCCTGTTCCATGGTATCCAACACCCTCACACAGACATATATACAAACAAAGCATATATGCATGTAAAATAAAAATGAATTAATTATAAAAAAGAATATATCACATTATGGAACTTTTCCTAACAATCTGGACTCATCTCTACTCAACTAAATCTTTTGTTGTCTTTATATACATCAAGAGAGCTGTGCTAAAAATTGCAATAAGAAGCAATGTTCAGAGTCCATTCAAAGAGGAATAGAAATCCATTCAATCCTTCAATGACCAAATATCATGGAATTTCATCACCTCCAAGTGATAGAGGACAGAAAGAGTAATGGCACATCTTCATCTTCTACAGTTTAATGACATATTTGGGAGTTGGGGATTTGACTCAATTGCACCGCTGCTGTTGGGTACCCAAGTTTGGTTCCTAGCATCCACATCAGACAGCTCAAAACTACTTACAAAGCCTTGTCCTGGATGTCTGTTACACTCTTCTGGCTTCCCTGGGAACCAGGTATGCAAATGATGTGGATGTGTGTGTGTGTGTGACTCCATATTTTTAAAATAGCTTTCTTTGTATATTTTTTTTCCTAAAATCAAAAAAATTTAATTTAGGTGTATGTATTGTCAGAACATGGTCCTGGAAAGGAGTCATTTGAGGGGAATTCTGAATGTTTTTTCTTAACACTGCAGTAAAGTAAAACAATAATCTTGTAACCTCAGATTCTTCAAACCATGGGATTGTTCTTGGAATATGGGTTTATGTTCCTCCCAGGTGTAGCAGATAAGTGAGTTGACTTCAGATTACTTTGTATTGATGCTGCTGTTATTCAATTAAATGTGTGAACTATTCTTTAGATGCCTGTATGGGAAAACATGTTTTTGTTCCATACAATGTATACAGCTTGAACTCATGAGAACTCCACTCATGTGTCCTTTCTTAACCCACAAAGTATAAATTGTCTGAGGCACTGAATAAAGTTATCTATTGTATGATACTTTAGTCCTCCTCATTTATTGACTCCATTCTGCCAGGGCCCACCACCTCTAGAGTGGTGAAAAGTAGCACTTGAACAGAAACCGGAAGTCAGCTACAAGTTAAGAGATTGATGACCCTCAGAAAAGGAGGTGAGTGAGAATGATGGTACAGAAACAAGGGAAGGCTTTGGCTTGTGTTGAGCTACTTCATTTTTTTTTTAAAGTGAAGAGCAGCACTGTATTAAAATCACAAATATTATATTCCTTGCAAATTGATTATTATTTTAACTCCTGATTTACAGAATAAGAAATTTTAGATGAAGTATGGGACAGAGCCCAAACTATTGAAAGGCCATATAAACAGGGGAACATTCCCTCTTCAATTTTAAGTCCTTTGGTTATTATCAAACTAACTAAGGAAGATAAGGAGGATATTAATCATGAAGGAGTGATAGCAAATTCCTTGAATGAATATAAACTTTATGATCCAACTTTAAAATTGGTAAAAGAGGCAAAAAGGTGATTTTCCTTGTTAAGACAAAATCAAAAGTTAAAATAGCATCACCTATATGTATACTAAGGACAGCTCATTCAACTCTCTCACCATACCCCTCTTTACATACTTATCCTCCATTTTCCAAAAATGACCCTGAGGCATTGGGTAAGTAATTTACTAATAAATCTAATCTTGAATTGTCTCCATTTTTGTGAAGATTTAGGAGAGCCTATGAAAATGTTGACTTCATTTACAAATTCCTTCTGGGCCTCATGAGGTATGATTGACATTTCTAGTGCAACTTCAGTGAAATCAAAATGTTTCAAAACTAATTATGTACCAATCAATCCATTTAAAACCCTAGAAGGAGAGATGGCATTGGACTGACCTCACATATTCTCTTGAGAGGCAAAAAATAACTACAGCAATTTGAATCCAGACCAAAAAGGCATTTGTATATCCTGTGGATCCTTTGTTTTCTTCAAAAGTACTTATTTACTCCACTAAATTGTCACCTACAGGTATTTTACACAAGTATAAGTCTTTGGAATGGATTTATTTACAACATAAGAAGGAGAAAATGCTACCAGCTTTCCTTACTCTTCTTGCACAATTAGTAAATTGGCAGCACCTGTTACCCACAAGTATATGGATTTGATTGTTGCTGTATTATATTATCCTTAGCTACCAATCAGTATTTAAGTGTGTTAAGGAACTGTATGAACTTTCATATCATTTACAGATTACTATGGCAAGATAGGGGGTTTCTCATATGACTTGAATTTGTGATTACAAAAATTGTCCAATCTTTTCCCATTCCACAGGCAGAAACTTTTTCTATTGATGGCTCATTCAATGATTGGGAAGGATTCATAGTCCAGATAGCCCCCAACAATCTCCCCTCCCTTGAGATTCATATACTGGACCACTAACTCTGGCAGAAGAGTTCTGCTTCACTAGAGGCCATGCTAGTAACCCCTTCCTGGGGCTTAATATCCTAGCCAACAATTTTGGCAGAAAACTTATGCTTTATTGGAGGTCATGCATTACTAGGAACCCCAGAGGCCACATAGGTACTTGGAACCCCAGAGGCAACATTGGCACCCAAAGCTCCAGATGTCATGCAAGATGGAAAAACCTCAGTGGAGACACCCTTCTGGACCTGAAGACTTGCTGGTCACCAGAACCACAGGCTACTCAGGCCAGGAGACCAGAGAGGAAACAGAAACCAAGGGGAAAACATCCAAAAAAAACCCCATCTAATCAAATCAGAAATCAACACCAAAACTGATAATAACTACAAACCCATATAACTAGAGGCAGCTTGACAAAATTAAAAATAGCCAGGGTAATATGTACCATCAAAGTCCAGCTATCCTACCACAGCAAGCTCTGTATATTCCAATACAATTGAAGAACAAGAAAATGACCTTAAATACAATCTTAAGAAGATGATAGAGACCATTAAAGAAGATATTAATACATCCCTTGAAGAAATCCAGGAAAATGCAAACAGGTGATGAAAATGAATAAAACTGTTCAAGACTTGAAAATGGAAATAGAATTAAAGAAAACACAAACTGAGGGAATCTTGGAGATGGAAAATATAGGTAAGTGGATGTAACTACTGACATAATCATCACCAACAGAATACAAGAGATAGAAGAGAGAATCTCAGACATAGAAGATATTGATATATCAGCCAAAGAAAATGTTAAATATAAAACATTCTTAACACAAAACATCCAGGAAATCTAGAATACTATGAAAAGATCAAACCTAAAAAACAGGAATAGACATAGGAGAAGAATCCCAGCTCAAAGGCTCAAAAAATATTTCAAAAAAATCACAGAAGAAAATTTCCCTAACCTAAAGGAAAAGATGCTATAGATGTACAGGAAACTTATAGAACACCAAATAGATTGATGAGAAAAGGAAGTCCCCTGCCATGTCATAATCAAAACACTAAATGTACAGAACAAGGAAAAATATTAAAGGCTTTGAGAGAAAAAGGCCAAGTAACACATAAAGTCAGACCTATTAGAATTACACCTGATTTCTAACAGAGACCCTAAGAGCCAAAAGAGCCTGGACAGATGTTTGCAGACCCTAAGAGACCACAGATGCCAGCCCAGACCACTATACCCAGCAAAACTTTCAATCACCATAGATGGAGAACACAAGATATCCATAAGAAAAACAAATTTAAACAATATTCATTCACAAATCCAGTCCTATAGAAGATACCAGGATTGAAACAAGGTTAACTACATCAAAGAAAACACAGGACATAAATGATTTCACACCATTAAAACCAAAATAAGGAAAACATACATACACACCACCACCACCACCAGCAGCAGCAGCAGCAGCAGCAACAACATCAAAATAACAGGAATTAACAATTACTGGTCATTAATATTTCTCAGTATCAATGGACTCAATTCCCCAATAAAAAGACACAAGGTAACAGAATGGATGTGAAAAGAGGGTCCATCATTTTGCTGCATACAAGAAACACACCTTACCATGAAAGATAGACATTACCTCAGAGTAAGGGGTTGGAGAAGATTTTCCAAACAAATACACCCAAATGGCAAGCTAATGTAGCCATTCTAATATCTAATAATAAAGACTTTCAGCCAAAATTAATCAAAATAGATTGGGAAGGACACTTAATACTCATCAAATGAAAAATCCACCAAGAAGACATCTCAATTCTCAATATCTATGCCCCAAATGCAAGGGAATCCACATTTGTAAAAGAAACATTACTAAAGAGTAAATCATTTATTGGACACCACACATTAAAAGTGGAAGACTTCACTAACCCACTCTCACCAGTAGACAGGTGGTCTAGACAGAAACTAAACAGAAAAATTATGGAACAAACAGACATTATGGCTCAAATGGACCTAACAGATATCCACAGAACATTTCACCAAAACACAAAAGAATGTACCTTCTTAGTACCTCATGGAACATTCTCCAAAACTGACTATATATGTAACCAATAGTACTCAACATAGTTTGAATCCCAGTTTTTGGTTACAGAGTATTACAGATAATGCTTTAACTGTTCTAATACTGTTCATTATGTTTACTCATGTATCAAATGGCAAATAGCTTTATCTACAACATCTCAAATGAAAGCCACTGTGGATATCCTGATTTTAAAAAATAAAAAAGGGGAGCTGGTGGAACAGAGTCTAATCATGGAGTTATTTAAGGAGAATTCTGAGTGCTTGTACAAACATCCCAAGAAAACAAAACAAGATTGTTGTGACCTCATTTTCTTCAAAACATGAAATTGTTCTTGAAATGGGTTTTTGTGTTCCTCTAAAGTGTAGCATACAGAAGTGAGTTTACTTCAGATTACTCATAATTGCTTGCTGATATTCAATTAAATGTTTAAACTATCCTTTCTATGGAGAAACATGTTTTTTATGTCTGGTGTATCCTTGTGGTTGTGTGTAGCTTGAACACATGAGAACTTTACTCATGTGACCTTTCTTGACCTTCAGGATATATATATATATATATATATATATATATATATATATATATATATATATATAGTCTGAGACTCTGATTACTATTGGCTATTGCATGAGACTGTGCTCCACCTCATTTATTGGCTCCATCCTCCCAGGTTTCACAATCCTCTAGAGAAGTGACAGGTGTGTGCAATGTGGGTGCTAGGAATTAACCTCTTGTCTTCTGCAAGAGCAGCCTGTGCTCTAACCACTTTGCCATCTCTCCAGCCCTTAATATTTCTATTCAGATTTAATTGATTTTTCTTTTCTATGTTTGTGCACATATATGGTGTGGAGGGAAAATCAGATGGCAGCCTGTGGAACACAGTCCTCTCTTTCCACCATATGGGTCCTAAGGATCAAATCAAGGCTGTTAGGCTTGGCTGCAAGCACCTTTACTTGCTGAGCCATCCTTGAGCCCTGCTCTTTTTTTTCCCTCTTCATTGTTTTTTGGGTTCTGTTTTTTATACAGGAGGCTCATGTTGTCTAGGCTGACCTTGAACCCATGACCCTCCAGCCCCTAACCCACAATTACTGGGATAAAAAGGTTTCACCACCAAACCTTGTTTATATATAGGTCTGGTGTATGATGGGGTGATACTTGTCCTGCTGAGACTCACCTGAGCTAAAAACACTGATATAGTCAACTTGTTGATCCACAGTTACAAATTGAGACTGTCTCAACAACATAAAACAAAATGCTATGGCAGGCTCCTTTGCTGTTCCTTTTGGGGGAGGGGGTGATTAGGTGCAGAGTCAACAACACAGAATCTGAGAGGATGTTGAAACTACAAGCTCAGTTTATTCAAGAAGAGGCAAGCCTTATATACCCTCTACCTCACGGTGGGGGGCAGTTCTGATGAATATACATCTGCTGGTGTGACATAGCTGCCTCTCATTGTTCCAGGAAATCTCAAATCATGTCTCACCTGCTGTTGCTAAGGCCATTAGGCAGACCCAGGTCAGCTTTAAGGGAATATCTTATTAC